AGTTGTATTATTTAGTGTATACAATTTGATCAGTTTCCAATGGAAGACATTGGTAGAATTCTTCAAGTCCTTCATCACTAGCTTTGGTAGTTGGTACATAAATTAGAATAATAGTTGTATTGATTGGACTTCCTTGAATGCAGGTAGATAAAATCCTGTTACAGACAGTATGTACTTCAAGACAGATCTTGAAATGTCCTTTTTAATGATGAATGCAATGATATTCCTGTTGACTGCAATTCCCAGCATAGGAAGTCATATGATTTTCTGTTTCAAAATGTCCGATACCAGTTCATTTCCGCTCACTAATGGCAAAAGATCTATTTTTTATGCATCAATTTCACTTTTTAAAACTTTTAATCTTCCTAGGTTAATATTTCATATATTTCAAGTTCAGATTATTCATTGATATTTACGGCTTCTGTTTCTCATTTTGAGTCATGTCCTATCAGCAAATGAAGGTCACAAAGCTTTTATTTTCACAGGCTTGACACCATCTACATCATCAAGGCTAATTCCATTTTAAGAAAGCAACTCTTCCTCAGTCATATTTTGAGTGCCTTCACTTGAGAGGCTTATATTCTGGCACCGGATCTGAGAATATTCTGCTTCTTTTCATGAGGTTTTCAATATATGAAAATATTTTTATTTTGTCCACAAGATTTTCAGTGGCTAATTCTTCAGAAGTGGATAGTCTATTCCTTCTTCATAGTCTGTTCTTAGTCTGGAAGTTATGCTTCCACCGTTCACTCTGGGTGACCTTGTTGGCATTTGATATATCAATGACCAGGCTTCCAGCAAGACAGCAACACAAAAGCCACCATAGTACGACAAACTGGCAGACCACTAGTGTATGTGTGGTCGGCTTTCTATTTAAGTTGAAGTTATTGGGACACGAGCTCAGTTCTTGCTGGAACTGGGTCTTGTACCTGACTTATCAACCTCTGGATCTCTGGAATTGAGCTCACCATATTGCCTATCCTCCCTGAGACTCATCACCTGTCTGTAGTATCTGATCTACTGACTTGAACTGGAATGGACTTACCCATTTTTACAGTAATGTGATCATCCAATAAAAGTTTGAACAAGAGTAGTGCTAAAGGGCCTCTTTTTCTTGGTCTTCACCTTAGAAGAAAATATTTAATATTCCTTCACTACATAGAACTTTATCTCATCACTTTTGTTGATGCTTTTAATTAAATGTGGAAATTTCATTGCATTTTTAGATTATTGATTGACTTTGGTTTTTAACATAAAAAAGTGGTTGAATTTTATTAAATGATGTTTTGGTATCGATTTTTATGATTATATTATTTTACTTTTTGTTCTGTTCATGTGATACATTATAATTGAAATTTAATGATAAGATCACTTGGTCATGATGATTTATATATTTAATTTGTTAATATTTTACAGAAATTTAGTCTATAGTCATGTGTATTTCTTCTCTTGTTCATTTTTCTTTAGATTGGTGTCATGTTTATTCTGACTTAATACAACTATTTGTGTGTTTTTTCGTTCTCTTTCTTTGAGAGAAATTGTGTACCTACTGGCTAAACACTTGCAAAAACTCATCAGAGAAATCACCTGTTCCTTGGTTTATAAAATATGGTATATTTAAAATTAAATATTTAAATTGTGGTTTTAATTTCTACAATAGCTACACAGTACACACATTTTCTGTTCTTGTTAGTGGTGTAAATTGTGATTCTCAAGGATTTTTCTTATTTCATCTAAGGTGTCAGTTTTCAGTTTGAGCAAAAGAGTCAAATGGGTGCACATCAAAAAGTAGACTACTCAAATGACTAAAGATCACATGAAACGGTGTGAAAGATCATTAATAATAAAAAAATGAAAATCACAACCACAATCATTATTGCTAAATATCCATTAGCAGAGCTAAAATTCAAAGGACTTGAGATTATAAAAATATGTGCAAGGCATGAAGAGATAGGAACATTTGGAAAGTCCTGGTGGGATCTGAAGTAGTACAACAAGCTTGCAAAACTGACAGTTTCTAGTTGACCAAATATTCACCTGCTCTGATATCCAGTAATTCCATCCCAAAGTGTGTAACTATGAAAAACGATGATTATGTCTATTAGAAAATGTAGAAGAATCTTCATTGCAGCTTTGGAAATAGCATGAGGAGAGGTAAATGTTTAAACTAACCATGGAATAAGTCTGAAAGGGGATACTAATTCACATGACAAAGAATAAACTTCTAATGCAAAAGTTTCACTCATTATGTTGAGTGAAAATACAATCATAAAATAATAATTCAATCTAAGTTAAACACAAGATTAGACAAAATTAGCAAAAGATAAAAGTCAGACTAGAATTACAGTCTGACTCATAGTGACCCTATAAGACAGAGTAGAACTGCCCCTGCAGTTTTCTGAGACTGTAAATCTTCATGAGAGTTGAGAGCCTCATCTTTTTTCTGCAAGGCAGATGATGGTTTGGACCTGTTCACCTGTGGTTTCAGCCTAATGTGTAACCCACCACCAGGGCTCCCCAATGTGATTCTTAAATAGTTATTTTCAGTATTTCCAAATCAGTTTGGTACTTTTATACTTTATTCAGTTTATGTGGTTAAAGTAAAAGATGCTAATGATCAACAAAATTTAATAAGAATTCTAAAATAAAGTGAAATAGAATGCAATTCATCTAGTCTCTATCTCATGCTTCCTAACTCTTATGTTGGGCCTTTGAAAATCCACTGTCACCTTCTCTACTCTTTCAATAGAACACTGGACTTTTGTATCCATATCTTTGTGTGAAGCATTGGTATATTTTTTGGCTCCTAGTAGTTTATTCTTCTCTCTTCTTTATGCGGAATAGCTGCACACTAATGAGAAAGTCTAACTTGCCAACTGCCTGGCATTTTAATTGCTGAGGGAATTTATTCATATGACGCAATGTTTTCCCAGGGCTATTAATTGGCAACGTTATCGTATTGTTCTATGCAGTTTCAAAATATAAGGAATTTCACCTTAGGCTTGGGAGAGACAAAAGAGAAGTCTAAAGAAAGCGTGAAACAAGTGGGGAAAAAAATCTTTAAACTGTTTCAGTGACTACTTGTCACAACTTCCAAAGCAAACGAGAGGTATTGAAAAATTTGTGGTTATAAATTTGTGGTTTATAAAATAAAATATTTGTTTTATAATTTTTTCCAATCACAAAAGAAAAAAAAACATTGATTCGTATTAATAATATGCCAAGAGGTATAGGAAAATGTAAAAAGATTTGAAATTGTTCCATCACGTGAAGTTAAACATTTTTTTCACGTGTGCAAACACTATTTGTGTATTTTCTTAAATATTCTAATTTTTCTTTAGTTAATTATTTATATTGACTCTTCAAAATTTTGTATTTATTTGGCACTATACATATAACATACATGTAGATTATGTATTTTTTCTTGTAATTGGTGATTTATTACAATTTTTGTGATAATTTGAAAATTTTCACAACACAATATTATATCCCTTATTTCTATGATTTTGCTCTTGACATGATTCTCAGAAAAGTTTTAATAAATAGTCCCAAACATGAAACTAAAACAAAACTGCATTCACTTATGTGTTTATTTTATTGTTTTAATTGTTATCATATAAATACTTAAAGAATTTGTATGTATTTTGTTATTAGATAAAGGTAACTAATAGCCTTATGTATTCCTAAATAACTTCACAGCAATTCATGTTTCCTTCATCTGAAATAGCATGTTTGTAATATGTGATTCGGTTTGAGTTCTCAATTTTCTCTTATCTGTTGTATTTCTGTACAAGCAAGTGAAGCACAGTTTTGGTAACTCTAGGCTAGTATTAGATTTTTATGGTGAATAGAGTCTTGTCCCATGTTCTCTTCTTTGCTGTCCAGAAAAGATGTAGACCTTTTCACCAGATACTTTGGCAGGGCTCCTGGAAGAGATGTGAGGTGATCGGCCACCTGGCTGGTGAAGTTGCTCTTTCTAAAGTTAATGCGTGGCTCTGAGTATTTTTCCATCCAGCTATATAGAGACTTTTAAATGATGAGGGCAACAAATGTATAGATGTGCTTTACACAATTGATCTATGTATTGTGATGAATTGTATGAGCCCCAATAAATTGGTTTTTTAAAAAATAAAGGAAGTTAATTGGGGCAGTTGCAAGTCGGCAACAATCATGCACCAAGATTATCCCTCAACATTTTAGTTCCTCTGAACATTTTACCTCTTAAAGATGAAATCAGGCCGAATGCAATAAATAGTCCAAACATCTGGACTTTTTATACTTTAGGGAAAATGTAGGTGAAAGACCATTTTAATTGGCCATCAGACTGTGACTTTAGCAACAAAAATGACTGACTTCTGGTTCTAACCCACCAACTGCTCTGAAGGAGAAAGGTGTTGACTGTCTGCTCCTCAAAAGATTTGATTTGATGGCAGTGGGTATATAGACTTCCAGATTTTTCAATTCTCTATAATTGATCTACTCAATTTCACTTTTTATAGATTCTGCTTAACAAATATGAAATAATTCAGCCCTCCTTCACTTATCTGCCGCTTAGTACTGCGCAATATAGAAATAGAATTCAAATTCAAAGGAGTTTTTTGTTTGGTTGGTTTTTGCCGAGGGAGTTTCAACAAATCTGTTTCTCAAACTGTTAAAAAAAAAAAAAAGTAATATTTTACACACCCTGTGACTAACTGAGATATATTTGTGCACCTTTCTCAAGGTTAGTGCAAATAAAGGCTGTTTGTCAAACCCTACTATTTTCTTCAAACATCTTGACATCTGGCAGTTATTTTTCATAATCCTTGTAGATATTTTTCCACGTTCTCTGCTAAGAGACTATGGCTATTCCGTTTTTCATTTTTGGACTCGGCGTTGTTTAGTATTTCTTTTTGTTTTCACATTTCAGAAGCTTTGAAGAAGTAGAACTAATAATATGTATTTTGTCTCAACGTTATCTCTCAAATGTTAATCTGCTTTGATTTTATTTTAGGTAATATATGACAACAGACAAACACATGGAAAGACGCAACCACACCCCAGTGTCTGAGTTTATTTTGCTGGGACTCACAGAGTCTCGAGATTTACAGATCTTATTTTTCATATTTTTTTCCATTGTCTACATAGCCATTGTTTTAGGGAACCTCATCATTATCTTTGTAGTAAAATTGGACCCTCAACTGCACTCTCCCATGTACTTTCTACTTGGTAACCTCTCCTTTATTGATATGTCATTGGCCTCTTTTGCTACTCCTAAGATGATCTGTGACTTACTTAGTGAATATAAGGCCATATCTTATGATGGCTGCATGACCCAGATGTTTTTCCTTCACCTTTTAGGTGGAAGTGAGATGATGTTGCTTGTAGCCATGGCAATTGATAGATACGTTGCCATATGCAAACCTCTCCATTACAAAACTATCATGAGCCGTCGTGTTTGCATTGGGCTTGCAGTGTTCTCCTGGACCACTGGTCTTGTGCACACGATGAGTCAAATGGTTTTCACTGTGACTTTACCATTCTGTGGACCCAATGTCGTGGACAGCTTTTTTTGTGATCTACCTCGGGTCATCAAACTTGCTTGCACTGACACTTACGTCTTGGAGCTTTTGGTCATTGCCGACAGTGGAGTGCTCTCTTTGTTCTGTTTCATCTTTCTGCTCATCTCCTATAGCATCATCCTGATTAACGTCCAGCATCGCTCCTCCAGTGGGTCTTCTAAGGCCCTGTCCACTCTTTCAGCCCACATCACAGTAGTGGTACTCTTCTTCGGACCTTGTATCTTCATCTACGTGTGGCCATTCAGCAGTATTTCCATAGACAAGGTCCTGTCTGTGTTTTATACAATTTTTACACCCCTTTTAAATCCAATCATCTACACATTCAGAAATAAAGACATGAAAAAAGCAATTAAAAAGATAAAGGGTAAGCATGTAAGTTCCAGATCAACTTTTTGACTGTGATATGATCATCAACCAAGATGACATCATCATCATCATCATCATCATCATAGCACATTAAAGTAAGACATTTGGCACCTACACATTAGTCATATTTTGGAGAATAAAATTTTTGGTTGTACATCCAAATGAAAACTATTGGAATATGATATTATTCAGTTATGTTGTAATTTTAAGTTTTTCTATCAACTAAATTATATTCTGACTAAACTATATCTCTACCATTTATTGAACCCTTGCCAAGAATAAGGCATTTTCATGTGTTTTCCCTTATCTTCACAACAATGAAAATAGAGTATAATATTTATATATTCTCAGAAGGAAACCAACTTTTAGAAAATTTAGCAAACTTGTGAAAAAAATTTTGATATAGCCTGGAATCATATCTTGAAGAATCAGATCTTAACTAAATAATCTGTCATTTTGTAATTTAAAATATTTTCTATCTATATTTTAACATTAATAAAGCTATTGTTTTCTGTACCCTTCTTCAGAGATCTTAACACCAACCCCCAAACCCACACCAAATTCTTTGTTGGCAGTTGATTCTGACTCATGGTGACTAATGTGTTGCTAGGTAGAGCTGTTCCATTGGGTTTCTGTGTCTGTGGTGTTTTCCAGAAGCACTCCCCAAGGCCTTTCTTCTGCAGTGCCACTCGAAGGGTTTGATCTGCCAACCTTTAGTTTTGCAGTTGAACACTAACTGTTTGTGACATCCAAGAACCACTTTTTCAATGCCATCTAGTAGATTCTGACTACGAGTGACACTATACAAGGTTTCCGAAGCTGTAGGTCTTTATGGGAACAAATGGTCTCATCTTTCTCCCTTGAAATGGTTGATACTTTGAACATTGGGCCTTATGGTTAGCAATCCAGTGCTTATTCGACAGCACCATCAAGGCTCCATCAGGGAGGAATAATTCCTAATAAATAAATAAATCTCTCCAACAAGAGTCTATATGAAATACTCCACAAATTTAAAGGTAAAAACAGTCACCATTTTAAGTTCACTGTGTTTTAGATTCAATAGAAATCATTAGACCAACAATCATGGTTGCTCCCAATCTTCACCATGTCTGAAATATCAACGATGCTCTATAGTACCTGCATCTCATGGAATCTGCATATTCACTTGTAAAAGTAATTGAGAACTGTAACGATTAAAATTAAATTGTATTTCACCCACCAACAAAGAAAACCAACCCCTGAGACCTTGTATGAAAATACAAGAAACATTCAAAAGGCAGGACATGAAGGCAGCCATAACCTACACTGAGTCTCAGGACCCATTATTAAAATGTTGATGACAGAAGCAAGTAACATTTTCTTCTTAAATTCTGTATTTATAAGCCAATTCCCAATGCCTTTTCTTTTTCTTACTAAAGAGATATTTTCCAGGAGTGAGCATTTGATTTATTTTTTCGGTTATGGCTGATTCATGGGGCATTATGACCGCTTTTGATGACATATTCACATCACAAAGAACATGGTCTAATACTGAATGGAGACTTTTGTCTTTGGTTGGAGGAAAAGGAGAGCGTGTCTTAATTTCTACAGAGGATAGATGCATCGTATTAGGCTGCGCCTATTTTCCTTCTTTAGAAATGGAAATAAAGATAGGCCAATGTGTTTGTTTGCTGGGTAGACAAAGAGATCATTCTGCATGTTGGCTTTCAGTCCTGTACCAGCTATTGCCGTCTCTTCTGAATAGCAGGGAGTGGGGACAAGAGAAAAAGAAAAGGCAGTGGGGGGTTGGGGGGAGCAAATTCCAAACCAGTTGCTGTTCAGGAGATTCCAACTCATGGTGACTCCATGCTTTACACAGAACTGTTCCATAGAGTTTACATGCCCATGACCTTTCAGACGCAGAGTTCCCGGCTTTTCTTCTGATGTGTCTGTTGCGGGGGATTTAAACCACCAACCTTTCAGTTGATAGCCACACATTAAACCATTTGGGACACCTCCAGCAGCAAGCTGCAGGTCTGGCAAGCATACTTCTTAACATCTTTTACCAACTATTTCCTGTGAAAAAGGAGAAGAAAAAATTCCTTTTCTACTAGTGGAGGAAACATGAAATGGAAAGGTGGGAGAAGAGAGGTGCCTTACATTTCTCTGTTTCTGACTTGGGCAGCACGTGAGCTGACATCAGAAGCCTTCCTGATCATGGTGTGGAGTCCAGCAGTGACAGCCAGGTGGAAGACTGCAAGGCTCCAGCAGCACAGGCAGCACAGGGCCGGCAGCACTGATGCTCGAAAACACGACTCTCCTTTGCTCACGCAGATTTCAAGGAAGTGGTTGCTTTCTGAATTCTGTTATTACCTGAATTCTCGGTAATAACACTGCATCAGTGAGTAAACCAAAGACACTCCTGGAAGAACCGTACTTTCATCTCGAGCCTTGTAATAGTCCTGATGCCATCATGAGTCCCCCACATTCACTTTCTAACCACCAAATTCCCAAGGTGAAGTCCCAAGAAGACAGGGGAAGGCAGTAACCCTGAGCAATCTCCTTGGTACTCCGAGAAGGCAGGAAAGAGCAAGTTCCTTATGGGAAGGGCAGCTAGATAAAGTAGAAATATACCCAAAGAGTAAGAAGCCTGGTAACATAATGGTTATGCATTGAGCTGCTAAATGCAAGGTCAGCAGTTCGAAATCACCAGTGGTTCCATCCGGAGAAAAATGAGGTTTTCTACTCCTGTAAAGAGTTGCAATCTCAGAAGTCCACAGGGGCAGTTCTACCTTGTTCGGTAGGGCTAGTATTAGTCATAATTGACTTGATGGCAGTGAGTTTGGGTTTTGGTTTAAGGGAATCCCCCTCAAGACCAAGATATTCAAATACAACAGGCTGTCTCCTTTGTCCTCCCCAATTCTGGCATGATGGATCAACGAAAGATCCCCTCTGATGATCTTTATTGCAAAGCTTTTAACAAAGGTCTTTGCAGAAGCTACTAATTATGCTTATATATTTATTGAAATAACCAAACCATTCATGTGTGTAAAGTGCTGGTCCTCTATTGTTCTTTGGATTCTGTCAGACATGGCTTTCATGGCCTCTCAGTACATTTTTCTTTTCTCTTTTCTCTTTACTTCACTGTTTCCATTATGATAACTTTGTGATATCTTCCCCTAGTCCTAGGACACCTTCCCCTTGTCCTTTTTTATTTTGAACTGCAGATTTTTATTTTCAACTTACTACTGAGCCTTTCCTCGGATATCTGGAACACACCTCCAATTTAAGATGTGAAAATTGAATGAATTACCTATTCTCCTGAATGTGTTCTTTTATCTGCATCCCCTATTTGACCTTCTCAGCTTCCTATTAGGTCTAATCTATAAATCAAGATGTGATTCCTGACATATTGTTACAGTTAATCATATCCTACATTTTTCAGCATCTCAGTTCATTCTTCTTAATTTTTTTCCTTTCCTTTCTTCAGTGTTGATGACTTTTTTGTGGTTTGCTGGGTTATGTGTTTATTTAATGACTCAGCAGAACTACTTCCGTGAAGTTGATTTCTCCTGTAGTGGGCAACCTCTGATATCCCTACTCAGGCGTGATTTCAACCTCCTAATCCGATGACCTGTGGGTCCCCAGCTGAAGAGTCTTGGAAGCATAGTGGTTACCTATTGGACTGCTAACTGCAAGGTAAGCAGTTCACAGTTACCATCACCTGGGAGAAAGATGGGGCTTTCTACTTAAGTCAAGAGTTAGGGTCTTGGAAACCAAAATCCTCACAACTTGAGCAACAGGTAACAATAACAGAGGAAAAATTGAAGTTGTCACAGATTTCATCTTCCTTGGATCCACAATGAAGGTTCATGAAAGCAGGAGTCAAAGACATAATGCATTGTGTAAGTCCGATGCACCAGATCTCGTTAAAGTGTTGAAGAACAAAGATGTCACTCTGAAGACTGAGGTGTATCTGGCCCGTGGCATGGTATTTTTTATTTCCTCGTATTCAGTTGAAAGTTAAGAATTGAATAAGGAAGAATCTATGCCTTTGGATTATGGTGCTGATGAGGAATATTGAAAGTCTTGGGATAAATACAGTCAGAATGCTCTTGAGAAGCGAGGGTAGTAGGACTTCATCTCACACATTTTGGACACGTTGTAAGGAAAGACCAGTCACTAGAAAAGGACATCATGCTCGGTACAACTGAAGGGCTGAGAGAAAAGGACTAAGACCCTTGATGAGACAGATTGACACAGTGCCTATAGCAGTGGACTCAAATATAACAATTGTAAGGCTGGTGCAGCACTGAGCATTGTTTCATTCTTCTTTGACTGATAATCTCATTCAGGGCCATTGAGTCAATGCTAACTCATAGTGAGCCTATACAGTTTAGCTGTTTATAGGATTAGAAAGCCCAGTCTTTCTCCCATGGAGCTGCTGGTGGTTTTTAATGACCTATGATAGGGATCAAAGTCCAAAGTGTAAACATAATACCATCAGAATCCTTTGATTGATAATAACTAAAAAAGATGCATTATTCTTGTGTAGATTCCAACTCATGTTGGCGCCTATTTGTTATATTGTAGAATTTCTCTATAGAGTTTTCTTGGCTACAATCCTTACAGAAGCAGATCTTCTGACCATGCTTTCATGGCATTGCTAGTTGAACTATAAGCACCAGCCTTCAGGTTGATAGTGAAATGTAAACTATTTATACCACCCAGGTATCTTGATTGATAATAAGACTTTTTAGAGTTCTTATCTTTACCTAACTTTCTATCCTTATTTTAAAAACAAAAAAAACTAGGGTCGCTACAACTGAGAGCAACAACAAAAGAAAACTTGGGAGAATGTTTAATTGGGTCAGAATCCAGAATTGAAATGAAGACTACTGAGATTAATGGTCAATTATTTAAATCCACAATCCCAAAGTGGAAAACAGCTCTCACTGGCTCTACACAATTCATTGGAGAAAACAATGACAACACGTATTTATTTCTCTTTTAATTAGAAATGAGATCACAAGCTTTAGTAATATTTAACAAACCAATTATTTTGAAGGCACCAATTCCGTTTCTATGTCATCTGGTCATAGATTAAACCTCACTGCTGTTTGATGCCAGCAAGTCTGTTTCAGTTCACAGTGATCCCAGGTGGCAGAGTAGGACTGCCCCAAAGAGCTTTCTAAGCTGTAAGATTGATGGGAAGCAGGTCCCCGGGTCTTTCTCCTGCACGACCACCATGTGGGTTTGAACCTTCAACCTATTGGTTAAGAGCGGGACAATTAAAAATGGGACCATTGGGTGTCCTTCATAAATTGCACTTAGAGTTTAGTCTTTTAAGGAATGGGTAGATTAACCAAAAGGTAGAAAAGGTGAGAGCAGACATCTTGTTTTGACCACGCTGTGTTGTGTTGTAGCTTCCATTACCTAGGTAAAAAAATTGAAAAATAATATTTTATTTTAACCCAATTGATTCTCCAAAACAACATAAGTGACCTAAAAAGATTTCTGAAAATAACCTTGGATTGAAAATAATTCTGATAATTAGAATTTAGCGAAATTACTTTAAAATTGCAGTGTAGGCAATGCTACAATTGTACTTTGTACACTTTAACAGCCAAATAACAAAATAAGAGAACAACATGCTCACAGAACTGAAAATGAGCCTATTAAAAATTCTACATTATCAAGAAACATTATTTTACCATGTAGATTTACTTCCATTACTATGAGCAATTCTATTAGCCCAGCCTCTGTGGCACCTTGATGTACTAGCCACTGATAGAATAAAGTCATTATGACTGGCAAAGCTTTGACAAAGTAACTATAACTAAATTGCTATACTTTTTGTGATGTTACTCATCATGTGATAACCTTGTTTAAACTGCAAAATTTTAAATTTTCCCTAAAGAAAATAAAATTAAAATCATCTTGAAAAATTACTAATAAAAACAAGAGAACAAAAAAATGTATAGTACTGAGGATATACATTGCTCTGTCCTTGAAAAAATGGTTAAAATGAGAAATAAGATGAATTAGAATAATGTGTTAGTCTGGATTCATTAAAGAAACAAATCCACAGAAACTCATATGTATAAGAGAGAGTTTGATATAAAGGGTAAGTACACATCAAGAAAACATCCCAAGCCAGTGCTGCCCAAGCCCACAAGTCCAACATTAGCCCATTAACCCATATGTCCGACACCAATCCACAAAGTCCTCCTCCATCTCACAAAACAGATGCAATGATGCTGACTGCAGGAAGAAAGCCCAGTCAGTGAATGTGTAAGCATCTCAGGGCTGGCAGGGGTCTCCACATAGCTGCTCCAGTACCCAGGGCTGCATCGGGGTAGGTCCATGTGGCTTCTCCTGAGGGATGTCTTGCAGGAAGTGAGCCTTGCCAGCTGCAGCATGGAGCTGGCTAAGGCAGCTTCACCCTGGTCTGACCATCACAAAGCAAGAGACCTGAGAACTAGAAAGGTGAGGCTTACCTAGCCATTTATCCCTCCGCCCTTCAATTAACCCCACATGTGTTTATCGGCCAGGTTGGCACAATAAACTAACTACCTCAAATAAATATGATCCTTGTCCAAAGATAGTGGTGAAAAGTGCATGGAAGCAATTTCTAACAATTTAAAAGTCAAAAACAAATAAATTCTGTCTTTTGCATGTGTTGGATACATGTGTGTGGATATTATCACAGCCTATAAGTTACTCTTTTAATAGAAACAATGTTCATGCCTAAAATGTATATTATGCCATGAACCAGGTGGCTGTTTTGACCTGCATTAAGTAAAGATGTGGGGGTAAGATGTAGAGATATCACTGAATGTTAACGTCATTTGTGACATTCTTTGTCAGCAACTTACTGAATCAACTGTTAAGATGGTAGCATAGTATAGTAATACCATCAATACAGTTAATTTGTAACTGCAACCTTTCAAAATTAGTATTTGATGTGTTATAATAAAATATGTACTGATTATGAAACTATTTTATGCAAGATATGCATTCTCTGAAAGTCTCTTAAGAAAACAACTAACTTAAAAATAGGCATTGAAATTTTAATGAGCGCAAAACAGCTGCATTGCTGTATTTTGAGCTTATTGTTTATTTTCTGTTTCCTCAGTTTGCTCTATGTTGTAGGTAGTATATTTTCTTAGAAGTCATTTTTTAAATTTATAAATTAATATTGATAAATATTAAACAACTTCTTGTCTATTAGTATTAAAATGGGTATTCTCAAAAACTTAGAAAGCTGATGTAACTTTCAAAAGGAGCCTTGGTTTACATTGTGGGATAAGTAGTGAGCCACTAGCCACAAGGTTTAAATCCACCAGCTACCAGTAGGAGAAAGATGTGCCTGTCCCTGTAAATATATAGAGTCTCAAGAACACAATCAAGGATCACTATAACTTAAAACCTACTCAATGTCTGCAGGTGGGCTTTTGTTTATTGATTTTTGGGTTTATAGAAAGTGACAGGAGAAAGCAATTTAAGACTAATGTGAAGAGTTGTATGAGCCCCTAATAAAATGATTAAAAGAAGAAAAAAAAGACTAATGTGAAAGAAGGGAAGTATGAACGAAATCATTCACTAATCACGTACTCTATCATAACCATTAAACCAACATTCTCTTCAGCTGTTTAATCAATTCATTGCCAAGAAAGAAGTACAGTATACTTCAGGGTCAGAACTTGAGCATGAAACAAATCTCCTGGTCATATAAGAAAGCAACTAAAGTACTTGAACAATTCCCACTGATATTTGAATTCCCAGAGCTCAAGCACATTTGCCTCCAAAGTAGGTCACACCTGTATAAGAGAGGCAGAAAATCGTATGCAGAATCATATGCAGGGCTCACAGAAAAGGAAAGAAAAAAATAATTCCCGAAACATGAACTTCTCTGAACAGGTAAGTGAAAATATAATAGAGAGATAAAAAGATTAACTGAGAATGATGCTTTCATGAAATGATATTGGCTAAAAGAAAGGATGATGGCTCTTTTGCTGGTGTCCTTTAATTATATGAATTTTCTATATGAGCAAGTTGGTGTCAAAGTTAAGATATAGTGATGAAAGTATCCATCATTTGGTAGACTACTAAAACAATAGGAAACTTCCATTCTTTGAAAGTATTTAAATTACTGAATGGTATAAGCCAAAGGAATGGGATTCATGAAAAAGCTCCTATCATGAACACTACTGTGCTGGTAGATTTAAGTTTATATGCTCTTATATCACCAATGAATATTTTCAAAAATAAATAAAACATCAGTGCTAATTTTCGTCTCATTTTCTTCAAATATAAAAGAACATCGGGACCTCCTGAGCCGAGTAAATGGATCTTCGGAATGCATCTATGGTGACTGAGTTCATTTTACTAGGCTTTTCTGGGCCATGGGAACTCCAGGTTTTCTTCTTTGTGACGTTCGCCTTGATCTACGGTGCCACTCTTATGGGAAACATCCTCATTATCATCACAGTGACGTTTAGTTCTGCCCTTCGATCGCCCATGTACTTCCTCCTGGGAAACCTCTCCTTTCTGGACTTGTGTCTCTCCACCGTTACCACCCCCAAGATGATCACAGACTTGCTGGCTGAGCACCGGGCCATTTCTTTGTGGGGCTGCATGGCCCAGATGTTCTTCATGCACTTCTTCGGGGGTGCTGAGATGACGCTGCTCATCACCATGGCCTTTGACAGGTATGTGGCCATATGCAAACCCCTGCACTACAGGACAATCATGAGCCACAGGCTGCTGAGAGGCCTCGTGGTACTGTCATGGACAATTGGCTTTATACATACCACGAGCCAGATGGTATTAACAGTGAACTTGCCTTTCTGTGGCCACAATGTCATCGACAACATATTCTGCGACCTTCCCCTTGTGATCAAGCTTGCTTGTATTGAAACATACACCCTGGAGCTATTTGTCATCGCTGACAGTGGGCTGCTCTCATTGATCTGTTTCATCCTCCTGCTCGTTTCCTACACTGTGATCCTGGTCACAGTCAGACAGAGGTCATCTGGAGGGCTCTCCAAGGCTCTCTCCACACTGTCTGCCCACATCATTGTGGTCACTCTGTTCTTTGGACCTTGTATCTTTATTTATGCCTGGCCATTTAAAAGTTTTTCAGGAAATAAAGTCCTTGCTGTATTTTATACTGTTATCACTCCTTTACTGAATCCTCTTATTTATACCTTAAGAAATCAAAAAATGCAAGAGGCTATGAAAAAATTACAGGCTCAACATGTGGGCTCCACAGAGACTTTTTAAATTTCAGAAGTATATCCTTAACATAACTAATACTAGATTAAGAGAGTTTGAATAGATCATGCAGAAAACATAAATAGTTTTTAATCACATTTGAATCAAAGCCAATGGAGAGAAACAATAAACCATTAAAATTACACATGTTATAATAACAAATAACAAAAATTCTAATATTAAAGTATGTAATACTTAGTGAAATGTAGCCGTCATAGAATGATGTAATGTTTTTCCTGCATGCATTTAATGCATATTTTTAATGAGAAATAAATGTGAAGTAATAGATGTCAATATTATTAGTCATAATTTATATACAAGAGATTATTAAATGACATTCATAAATATGTCTGTCATAAACCACATGTGATTATTAAGTGATTGGGCATGAACAATCCATGGTGATAATAACAGTATAAGATGTCTAATATGATAAACAATTAAGTTAAAAATAAGATTGTCAGTCAACGTGAGTTTAATGAATATAAGAAGATGCTAGAGAAACAAGCCATAAGAAGGACACTTTAAAAAAAACTGCAAACAGTAATATTGAAACTAAATTCTCCCAGGTATGTAATAAATATGCACAGCTTAGCTTTTAATTTCAGAAATAAAAGTGAAACAAAGCAGAAGGATATGCCTTTATTTTATGTAAAATACCATGGAAATTTTTTTTCTTTCCAAGAGTTTCCTAAAGAATTTCAGCTAATTATGCCTCTTGATGGCTTGTAATTCTTAGAGTAATTATATAATAAATATGACTTATTTGTGTCTGTGTGAGTGATATAAGAAGCTAAATGTATATATCACCAAAATTTATAGATGGTTCTATGGCATTAGCTTTACTGTGGCATTACTGATGCTAAATCCAAACATAAGTTCTTTCCTTCCTCCCATGTATTCTCAATAAGCAGCTCAAATTACATCATTGAAATGCAATGATCAGTGTCATTTTATTTCTTAAAATTATTTCCAATCCATCATTGCTCTTCAAATCCCGATCTAATGTGGGTTTATCTCTTGGATTTTACCCAACTATATTATTTTTTCTAGTGCTCCTGACACATTGTCCTTTCCCCCCAAGTTACTGGACATCCATGCTGCTCTGGTTTATTAGTGTGTTCGGACTAGGATACTAATCCCACAATCCACAAGCCATTGCATGGAAGAAATTTGAGGCTGTGTGATCCCACAAAGACTCACAGCCTCATAAACCCTATCTAGGGCCACTATGAGTCAGCATGGACTTATGGGCAGTGGGTTTAGGGAGCTCCTTTCACTGGGGATGATCTTCTAATACCTCTTCACCCAACTTTGTAACTCCTTTGGCATTACAAAAAAACAGTCATCACCAAGTGGACATTGGCTTGTGGGTGCTAACTTGTTATAAGACTGGAAGTTTGAGTCCACCAATAGGAGCCTAAGAAGAAAGGTCTGGTGATCTGCTTTTGAATATACAGCCATTGAAATCCAATTCTAATATCAGAGTACATGAGCCAGGTTAAAAAAAATACAATTGAAAACACCATTTGTAAATGTACAGATGAGTTTGCATTTATTATCTTTTATTTTACTTATGTATGGCATGTTGCAGTTTTTATTATTTGCGTATATTAGGATAATAATTCACCTATGTAATTATGGATTAATGTCTGCTTTGTTGTTAGGCTATAAGTTGAAGATAATTTCAGCATCTAGCACAAAATGAAAATTTAGTAGTTAGATTATACTTATTAAATGAATAAGGAAAAATGAAATGTATACAGTTAGCAGAATGTTTTTCACTTTTGATTTACTATTAAGGCGTACATGAACCTCTCCTGTCAGTTGATATTTTCTAAAAAGGGTATATGGTGCTAATGCTTTTTTTAATTAAATTAAAAGGATTAGAATTTCACAATGAATAAAAGTAGAATGAAATGCATTAAATGAAGGAAAATAGAAAGAAAGAGTATAGAAAGATGAGTATGTTTGCTATTAGTAATTATTTATTTTTCCATACACCAAAAATTATTTATTTCTCCATACACACACAAACAAAAATCATAATTTTGCGTAGTATATTGTCCCATATTAAAAATTCTCCACAAATTTATAGTGAGACTATGCATCCAATGGAAAATTAAGTTAAAATACAATTTAGAATGAGCATTGTATTAAACTTTTCTTTATAGATGTATAGCACGGATTAGTTAATATTGTTAATTAATATTTAAGTGCTTATGGTTTTTGAAAATAACTTTAAAATCAATTAAAGATATTCAAAGAATATGAGACAAATCACACCTGACACCCAGTGTGAAGTTTTAACTCCATTCTGGAATGAGAAGCTAGTACTGAACCACTCCATGTCCATCCTAAGAAGACCTGCAGAAACCCTCTGCCTACCGCAGGAAAATGTAACACTGGATGTGAAGAAGCATTGCATTGCACGCTAAAAGGGGCTTTGGCAATGACCAGGGAGGGAAACTGATTGAAGGCCGTGGTGAAGGCCCAAGGCCCAAAAGGAAAGAGCAGAAATGTTGAAAAAGTCTGGATAGCAGAAGTCATCAAGAGGTATGCCCATGTCAAACTTGGTGAAAATAACATCAATCCTCCTCTACAAAGAGTAGTGGCTGCTCAGCCCATCTCGTATGATCCACACATTCTGGGGAAGACTGCTCTTTATTTGCTCTTGCTTTGAATATACTACTTGCCTTTGTGGACTTAAGCACTTGTCAGAAGTAAACACAAATCTTCTCTTGGTAAAACAAAACAAAACACAAAAACTGCCTTCAAAACAGGTCATTGTGAGCTTTCACAGACTAGTTCTAAAATAAGAACTAGCAATCAAATACTGGGAGACAAAACAAAACTCCAGGATGCTTCAGAAGCAGTGGGAGGGGTGGGGGTGGTTTTATAAATAGTACGCAGAGGAGAGGGAACTGAGAGAGACTGAACACTCTTACATGTAATATGTTTAAGGGGATGGCATGAACACTCTTACATTTAATATGTTTGAGGGGATGGCAAGGTGCACCCAAAAGTGAGCAATCTCATGGCCCTATAAAACTAAGTTCCATGGGAAAAAGTAAGAAACAGAACTTTCAGAAAGAAAATAATTGAAACTAACACTAAGTAGAAAAGATAAATAGCCTATACACTTCTGAAGAAGGAGTTAATGAATCAAAATATAGAATCAATTGTATTATTAAAAGCCAGTACAGAGTCAAGAAAATACATGAAAAAAAATGAAACATGTGGGATAGATTGGAAAGGCATAACCCCAAATAGCAATGATTTAGATTGTAAACAGGAATCCCCGTGTGACACAAATGGTTACATGTTTATCTACTAGCTTAATGTCGATGACTACAATTCACCGGCCTCTCTGAAGACAGCTTTGGCAATTCAGTGTTGAAACCCATGTGGAGCGGTCCTACTGGGCTCGTCAGGCGGCCCCCTAAGTTGGAATCAACTCAGTAGTCACCAAGAATAGGCAGGAATAGGAAGAATGCTACAAGAGTAATATTCAAGAAAACGAAGCATACTCATTTTCCACATTTGGGAAGATGCTTTCAAGCATCCAAAGGTTAAACCTAGCTGTCTTACAAAGAACTTTCAAAGTAGTGATCTAAATTTAAACCAGCAAAATGGGGAAATAATTCCTACCAAAGGCTGAGATATAGTAAGTGCACACCTGTACTGTGCTCCAAAGAATGGTTTTTGCTTGTTTTTGTTCTCTGCAATATATTCAGACATTCACATCTGCAAAGCCTGAAAATGTTTGCCTCTGACAGGACCTAGCAAATGAATTTCTATTTGCTGTTTTGCAGCACAAAAATAATCCCAGAGAAAAGAATGATGTGAGTGACTCCAAGGAAATATATGCAGACTAATACCCTGGAATAATGTCGAAGACATTAGAGAGGGCCTGGACAAATGGGGAAAACCACACCCTGGGTAAACTAGGTCAGTGAAAAAGAGGAAGGCACTCAAGGAGATGCATTATGTATTGACACAGAGGCTGCCTCAACGGGCTCAAACATAACAATTGTGAGGAGGATCTAGCAGACCTTCAGTCTGTGGGCACTGACTCAAAGACCTCCCACAGCAGCAAGCATGGGAAGGCACCCTGGTGGCGCTGTCCAAGGAGCATTGGTCTGTTAGCCAGGAGGCACTCATTCAAACCCTGGTCTCGTCTGTAAAGATTTACAGGCACCCGACACAGGGTCTCTAGGAGATGGAATCGACTCAGTGTCAGTGCATCTAAAGAATGGAGGGATGTATGCACGTGAAGATTCACTCATGGCTATTGAGTCAACTCTGATTCACAGCGACTCTCTAGGACAGGGTTGAACTGTCCCTGTGGGTTTCAAAGACTAAATCTTTACAGAAGTAGAAAGCTTCATTTTTCTCTTGGCATGTGAATTAGACACTGGAAAATTTTAAGAGGCTATTTTTTTTTCAAAATGTAATATAAATTAATTAAATCCCATTCAAATTCTCAAAAAGTGCTTACAAATTGTTTTGTGATGCTAACTTTTTAATGAAAATTTAAATACGTAGAAGAGCTAAGATGATTTTGACAAAGTAAAACAAAATTTGCAAGCATGCTATACTGCCCTCCAGCTTTACTCTTAGAATGCCGTAGTTAAAAGAGTGTGGTGTAGATACAGTAGTGGAAAATAGAACTATGCTGTATAAATTGACTTTAGTGTTCTCAGAGTTCAAAAAGGCTTCCTACTTTGGAGAGTACCAAATGGGTTCCTAAAAGCTTGTGAGAAGCCGTCTAAGGTGCAACTATTGGATATTCTCAAATCAGAAAGAAGAGTTTACGAATCTAAAGACATCGGAAATGATTAGTCCAGTGGAATAATGGACCGTGGACCATAAGTTTCTACATCCTAAATGATGCTGGGCTACCAATATGAATTGCTCTGCAAAGGAACACATTAGAAGGTCTTCACTGGGAGAAAATGTGGAACAGGACTTAAAGTCATAGATTGAGACGAGGATTGATTGTCAGATAGAGTAAATGGGACACCCCCAGCCCACTAAGATCTTTAGTCATCCTCCAGGCCTGGAATTGAACTCATCCTCCTGTTAGAATAACCAACCACTTAAGATCAAAAGGATAGCTTTAACCAAAAGCCAGAGAGTTAAGAAAGAATAAATAGGTATTAGAAGTGAAAGGAAGAAGTACGATAAAATCTGTTACACTGAGGGGATTGCAATGAAACAAAATGTGTATGTATTATTGAATGTAAAACTATCATTTCTGTAAGCCTTCACCTTTTTTATAATAAACAGCTATAAAAATGGAAAGCAAAGAAATGAAACAATATAAAATCTGTAGTTACAAATCCACATAGAAAAATCATTTAATTTATAAAAAGTGGGATAACTAAACATCAAAAAATATTTTAAATATTTTCACTAAATAGTATGAAAACATTTGAGTATTTGTATTTAAAATGTTATTCCTTTATTTCTGCAAATCATACAGAAAAACTAGTTTGGTATTGCTGATAATTCTAAGTATTTAAGACCTTTTACAACAGTTTCCAGAGAACATAGGTAAGTATTTTCATGACTGGGACAAAGACTTTTTATCAGGAAAAAAGATGATCTAATCAGTAAAATATTTTAAGTTTAATTAGACCTCTAGAGCATTTTCTTTTGCTGACCTTTGAATCCACAGTGAAAGCAAGGAAGACTGACAAATGATGAGTTATTTAAAGCTATAATCCGAAAGTAAGATGAATCTATCTCTCACTGGCTGTATGCTACTCATTGAAGAAAGCAGGAAGAATATCTATGTATATTTTATTTGGAAAGGATACAATAAAGTTTACTAATATTTCACAAACTAATTTTTTTGCTGTCCTAATTCAGTCTGCGTGTCCAATGGACATCTATTACATGTTGTTGCTGTTTCTTATCCTCAAGTAGTGATCCAATGTGACTGTGTAGAAGAGCCCCAAAGAATTTTCGTTGCTGCAGTATTTATGGGAAGCAGATTTCCACGCCTTTCTC